CTAAATGCACACATATTTTCAAGTATTCATTTTTCAGTGAAAATTCATATTTTCAATATATTTTGTAGTGGATATCCACAATCACAGGATTAAGTTAGAAATTTAGGGAACTGCTGATAAAAATAGGATAGCAAATCTCCAGACCTGGAGGGTAACTAGGGGCCACCTGGAGTCATTAATTCATCAGATGAAGAAATGAGTCTTCAGAGATGAACGGTTTCAACTAATTAAGGTTACTGTGTGTTCCTTTTTCTTTCCTTCTTTCTTTTAAAAATTTTTTTAATGTTTATTTATTTTTGAGAGAGAGAGAGAGAGAGAGAGAGAGAGAGACAGAGCGTGAGCAGGGGAGGGGCAGAGAGAGAGGGAGACACAGAGTCCGGAAGCAGGCTCCAGGCTCTGAGCTGTCAGCACAGAGCCCAAGGCGGGGCAGGAACCCAAACCACAAGCCATGAGATCGTGATCTGAGCCGAATTCGGACACTCAACCGACTGAGCCACCCAGGCGCCCCTCCTTTTTCTTTCTCATGCTGAATTGGTGTATTGCTTCATATTTTTGCAAAACAATACAAATCTGTAGTATTTGTTTATAATGGCAATCTTTCTAGGTAAGCAAGGTGAGTGGTCAAATACTAGCTTGCTTATTTTATAAATCATTAAGCTTAAACATAAATATTAATTCCGTTTAGAAGTTTGAGAAGATCTACTTCTGTAAGACATTTTGTTAAATTCTCCTGAAGGGAGAGGAAGCAGTCAGCTCTTGAGTTTGAGCCCGGTGTCGGGCTCTGTGCTGACAGCTCAGAGCCTGGAGCCTGCTTCCGATTCTGTGTCTCCCTCTCTCTGCCCCTCCCCTGCTCATGCTCTGTCTCTCTCTCTTTCAAAAATAAATAAGCATTAAAAATTTTTTTTTAAAAAGTAAAACGTTAGACCCTTCTTTCCCCCCAGCTTTGTTACAGTATAACTGACAATTAAAAATTGTATGTATTTAACTTGATGATTTGATATACATATACATTGTGATTAATCACCACAGTCAAGCTAATTTACATATTCATCACCTCACCTGCTTCCCATCTTCGTGTGTGTGTGTGTGTGTGTGTGTGTGTGTGTGTGTTAAGAACACTAAAGAGGGGCGCCTGGGTGGCTCAGTCTGTTAAGCGTCCGACTTCAGCTCAGGTCACGATCTCGCGGTCCGTGAGTTCGAGCCCCGCGTCAGGCTCTGGGCTGATGGCTCGGAGCCTGGAGCCTGTTTCCGATTCTGTGTCTCCCTCTCTCTGCCCCTCCCCCGTTCATGCTCTATCTCTCTCTGTCCCAAAAATAAAATAAAATAAAATAAAATAAAATAAAATAAAATAAAATAA